CACAGCCCCACAGATTCACACAGACACCCAGACTCACATAGAGACCCACAGACTCACATAGAGACCCAGACTCACATAGACACCCACAGACTCACATAGAGACCCACAGATTCACACAGACACCCAGACTCACATAGAGACCCACAGACTCACACAGACACCCAGACTCACATAGACACCCACAGACTCACATAGAGACCCACAGATTCACACAGACACCCAGACTCACATAGAGACCCACAGACTCACACAGACACCCAGACTCACATAGAGACCCACAGACACCCACAGACTCACACAGCCCCACAGATTCACACAGACACCCAGACTCACATAGAGACCCACAGACACCCACAGACTCACATAGAGACCCACAGACTCACACAGACACCCAGACTCACATAGAGACCCACAGACACCCAGACTCACATAGAGACCCACAGACACCCACAGACACCCAGACTCACATAGAGACCCACAGACACCCACAGACTCACACAGCCCCACAGATTCACACAGACACCCAGACTCACATAGAGACCCACAGACACCCACAGACTCACACAGCCCCACAGATTCACACAGACACCCAGACTCACATAGAGACCCACATACACCCACAGACTCACATAGCCCCACAGATTCACACAGACACCCAGACTCACATAGAGACCCACAGACTCACACAGACACCCAGACTCACATAGAGACCCACAGACACCCACAGACTCACATAGCCCCACAGATTCACACAGACACCCAGACTCACATAGAGACCCACAGACACCCACAGACTCACATAGCCCCACAGATTCACACAGACACCCAGACTCACATAGAGACCCACAGACTCACACAGACACCCAGACTCACATAGAGACCCACAGACACCCACAGACTCACATAGAGACCCACAGACTCACACAGACACCCAGACTCACATAGAGACCCACAGACTCACACAGACACCCAGACTCACATAGAGACCCACAGACACCCACAGACTCACACAGCCCCACAGATTCACACAGACACCCAGACTCACATAGAGACCCACAGACACCCACAGACTCACACAGCCCCACAGATTCACACAGACACCCAGACTCACATAGAGACCCACAGACACCCACAGACTCACACAGCCCCACAGATTCACACAGACACCCAGACTCACATAGAGACCCACAGACACCCACAGACTCACATAGCCCCACAGATTCACACAGACACCCAGACTCACATAGAGACCCACAGACTCACACAGACACCCAGACTCACATAGAGACCCACAGACACCCACAGACTCACATAGCCCCACAGATTCACACAGACACCCAGACTCACATAGAGACCCACAGACACCCACAGACTCACATAGACCCACAGATTCGCACAGACACCCAGACTCACATAGAGACCCACAGACTCACACAGACACCCAGACTCACATAGAGACCCACAGACACCCACAGACTCACATAGCCCCACAGATTCACACAGACACCCAGACTCACATAGAGACCCACAGACACCCACAGACTCACATAGCCCCACAGATTCACACAGACACCCAGACTCACATAGAGACCCACAGACACCCACAGACTCACACAGACCCACAGACTCACACAGACCCACAGACTCACACAGACACCCAGACTCACATAGAGACTCATAGACTCAGACAGACACCCACAGATTCATAGAGACCCACAGATACCCACAGATTCATAGAGACCCACAGACACCCACAGACTCATAAAAACCCATAGACCCATACAGAGACCCATACGCACACAGACACCCGTAGACTCACATGTATTGACAAACTCACTTCTTTAGAACAGCCTTTTGCGTCTAGCTTGTTGTCCTTCACCAGCATCTCCGATGAACGTGGTCGGCTCTGCACGGTGCGAGAGAAGTTCAACGAAGGTTGCGTAGCACGTGCGCACACATGCAAGAGCAGCAGCAGCAGCAGTAACGGTGGCGGTGTGTGGCAGGTACATCGCCCGGGTGCGAGGCCAGGTGGTGGAGTTCGGCCCCGACGGCTCCGTCCACCGCCCGCTGCCCAAGAGCGAGTTCCCGGACGAGCCGACGGTTCGTGCCGCCGCCAGCGC